CTTCACATTGTGTCCTTGCTGATATCTGCTTCTGCTATGATTCTCAGGTGACAATTTGCAATTACCAGTTTTTGAATCATATTGATGATGATATTTCAACACTCACTTGGGCAACCAGTCCAAGGGTTATCTTCAACATCATCTCTGTTGCAACACTGCATACCATTAGAAAATGTAGATTATGATAGTGCAGGCAGCAATCATTAGTTCCAACTGTTGGTGTTGCAGTTTTATAGCAGAACTTTTATGTATGGAATAGCAAGTGGCAATAATCCATAATGGGAGCTCTTCACTCAGTTACATTCAACTGCCCATGTAAAGAGTCAAGACATGCATGTAGCAAAATCCATTGGTGGCAGATAATGATGCAGCCAATGATCTCTATGAAAAATCTGTCCTAAAGCTTAGTAGATGCATTCTATATTGTAAAAAAATTCAATGAATGAAATAAAAATGTTTGTATTTATTCCATATATGGAATAAATGCTCATTCAGAGAAGGTACAAATGCTTCTCTGAATGATGCAGTTAGGATTTTATCAGAGCTGCAAATGATGTCTAAAGGAGTAAAAAAGTCAAAGGCAGATTTTGAGTACTATATCTCACAAAGGGTCACATGTAGACCATCAGTTCCTGTCTGGAATTATGAAGACAATAAAAAATTGGGATAAAATTTAAAAGTGAGAACATCTGGAACTTTTTCCCAAAACAATGCTAAAAATCATCTGTTTTAGGAGCTTTTAGTCAGCTCTAGCAAAGTGGAAAATATGATTATAAGTAAATAATCTAGATTCACCATTGCACTGACTACTTCCAGGAGTCATGCTGCATATGCTGTTAAAGCCTATCATGTGTTTAGCAGCCTGGTCAAGATGTTCTAATGATATTTCTTGCCAAGGGTCATTTAGAGATGGAGTTCCTTTGATTTTGGTCCTGGCGTTTAAAATTTGAGAGGGGATTTGGAACCCTTCATTTAGAACTGGAATTTTATCACTTGTATACAATTAAATATAATAAATTTCTATTAGTCCACAGTTAGTCAACTGAATATTTTTTATGTAAATATTTGGTGTTACAACTGTGGTAAAGCAAATTGTTCTAGATAGGTGAATTATGGTTTATCCGTATTTTCATAGAAGAATTGTTCAGACATCTACAAAGTATTTTGTTATCGGAACAGTATGATTAAAAGATATTTAAATTTATAAACATTAACTATTTNTATTATTTATAATATATTAATCCAGTTTTCGTTTATTTTAAGACTTAAGATTTTATTTATACTGTCTTTACTTTTCATGATTTCTATGGTTTCTTTAAACTTCCTGTTGTACATTAATTTTTCTTTATGCAGTATTTTTACGTTATCTTTATCTATATTACAGTTGTTTATAGTACAATGTTCGTAAAATGCAGAATTTATTCTATTGTAATTAAGGTCTGCTATGTGTTCTTTCAGTCTAGTTTTTACTTTTCTTTTTGTTTCTCCTATGTAATGTTTTTTGTGCAGGTACACGGAATTTTGATTGTTTTTGTTATCTGAAAATGTGCTGCTTTTAAATATGAGTGTTTTAATGATATGTTATTACAGTGGTTTATTAATAATATTAATTGTTAATATATGAATTAAAACCCATAGATTTTTGCAAAAATATCAATATTAATATTGATATTTGTTATTTCTGTGGGAAAAGAAACATGCTTTTGAGAGTTGAATCATGAATGCTTTTCATGGTTCATAGTAAAATGTGGCATACAGTTTTACAATGTTTAAGAGAGACTATTTGTGCCTCTCACTTTCGTTATTTAACTTATTCTTTAGTTTGGATGTGAAGGACATCCAGGGGAGGGAAGTGTTTCTGAATTCCTTATGGTCCATCCTCTCCAGTACAGAAAGTATAGGAAAAATATAATTTGAAGATGTTAGTTTAATTTATGAATTCAGAACTAAACTGCTCTATGTATAATAAACATAGAAAAATGATAAAATTGGCATATAAAAATTAAAATTCTACGTGCCTAATACTATTCCTAAAAGTAAAGTAAACTCATATTTGTAGTAATAGTTACAAAAGAAGGAAGAAACTATGATATTGCACTAGCAACCATACTAAAGAATTGAATTGGACAAAATACCTTTCAGTTTCTAGAGAAAGATGATCATGATCTTCAGATGTAAAGCAAAGCTGACTAAAAGATCCAAAAAAATCCATGAAATGGCTTGGATTTAGTTCCTATTGGTCATTAGTGCCTTTTAAAAATTAACTAGGCTGGAGCATCTAAACAAATGGAACTACTAAAAAATAGTATAGATCTGAATTGAAATGTTTTCATGTTTTATTGATACTGACCCGAATGACTGCCAAAAATTTCAAGTGGTAGGTAAATTTTTCAAGAAGGTTTTTAATATTTTTAGTTAGGAAGAATCTTTCTAATTGACAGATGTATTGTATTTTCTTTCTCTTTGTACAAAATTTCATCATTACAGATATACTGTACATACATTGTAAATTGGGATGAGTTTTTTTTCACATTCCAGAAATAAGATGTAAATGTTTAAGTACAGTTAACATGATTTCTAATGAAGAATAAATGTGTAGAATTCAATTATAAATGATAATTTGGTATAAGTACTGGAAAGTTTTATCATAAACTTCACCATAACACAGATGTATTGCAAACTCGTGGGTTCCTCCTGTGACTGACCCCTTAAGTCAACGAATTAAAAAAAATTAATATATTTAAGTTCTTTTATATTAGAGTTAATAAAATCAGAAACTACATAACTTGAAGATATTAACTAATATGCAATTCATTTAGTAGTGTTTTCCTGCTTTCATTTTTAGTATAATAGTTAGTTATATAATAATTTTTAACATAATAGGTAGTGTGTAATGTACAGTACTGTACAGTAGTGCTTACTAATTGTGATTCTATTCTGAAGGAAGTTGATGTAATGAGGGGATAATTTGATTGGTTATTTTTAATTCTCCTCCATTTATCTACAATGAATTGTGTGTATTCACATTATGTAGATAAGGTAACAACTGTCACTGAACACTAATTGAAAAGGGAAAACAACAGTTGTCCCCTTCATCTTTTGAATGTTTTAAGAGTAATAACAATTAACTGATAATATTTTTATTCAAATTTGTTTCTATTGCTAAAAATTTAGAAGGTGAAATTCCATTACAATACTATTTGATAAAGTAAACAATCACTGTGTCACATTCACCCATTGTAGCTATGTGGATGCAGTGTGTGTCTTGTCCAGTAGCTAACAATTGTTTGATAAACAGATGGAACAAAAAATGATATAAAATACAATAAATTTTTCAAGTATTATTTAACACTTACCCTGTTTGGTACTATTGATCTAGTTCCTTTGCTGTATGCTGGCTGATTTAAGCGATTTTACTGTATTTTCTACTGAGAATAAAAAAACAATTGACTAAATCTAGGTGAAAAGTGAAAACAGTTTCTGATTTCATAGACATTTAACTATATATATTTCAATTTTGATGCATGTGGGCTTTATTTTTATGTATTTTGCTTTAATGTTATTTGGACATGTTTTAGAGATAGAGATAAAACAAAAAAATTAAAAATCACAATAAAGCTTTTAACATTTGTCTTTTTAAGTAACAAATATGTAGTACATTAATGAATTTAGTTATAATAATGATGTACTGTATCAATATCATTAGTAGACTCCTCTGACTCTAGCTGTTTTTCGTAATTGCGTCAGTTTAGCAAATAATGATGAGTTGGCATTAACACTGTCAGAAATATAGGAATCTGACTTTTGCATTGAGTGTATCTATAAAGTATATAAATTATGTATTATAATATAAACTATTAAACTATATAGGTTTAGAAATAATAACAAAATTACAATGCTTATTTGTACATTTTTTATTTCAGTTAGGCCTAAAACATAATCACTACACTTTTGTCCTATAAATCAATATATCATCACTATATTTGTTTATTTTTTCATAAATATTTTCAAACAATTTTTTTTGTTCAGTACATTTATGTGCCATATTTGAACTTAACTCACATATACAAAATAAAACAAATCGAAATTTACTTGCAAACTCTGGCGGCAAAACTCTGAATCGAACAGCACGTGGTTCTAAAAATAGCATGTATTTCAAATTTCTGAAAAAGTAGTGCCCATTGTTAGTTAATACACATTAAAAACACACAAAATTCATCTATTGATTGCTGAAAATGTAATGTTACGTTCTAAAGCTAGAAATAACTTTTTATATAGAGGAATGTATTATTATGTTTGCTGTTTTTACCAACGAATTCACGAAACATATTACATTTCTAGCAGGATAAGTGTTAAAGATATTACATTGCTAGTTTAAAGTAAGCTGATTAAAAATTTAAGTTAATGAATTATTATTAGTATTACTTCATATAACATTATATATATGTATATATATATATATATGACATATATTCTGTAATTATATATATGTATATGACAGAAAATTTAAGGATAATGGTGGACCTTACAGAATGGAGTAAAAATCTTACAGATTTCTGAAAAGTAAGAGGCAAGTAATAATGTCATTAACCACTTTAGCATTAAAGGCAATGTCAGTGCCATCTTCTAGCACTGATGTTGAAAGAAGTATTCAATTGCAAAAAACATCCTACAACCCAATAGAAGTAATCTCAGAAGAAAATTTATCTGTCTATATGACATTACTTGATGGCAGTCAACAATATTCATACTGATGAGGCAATTTGTTGGGAAGATGTAATTTAGATAATTTTACAGAAATTTATTTTTAATAATAAATAAAAAAATATCATGATTTTATGAATTTGTTAAGATTGTTGCTTGTAAATATGTTGTTGCAATATTCATAATTTGCTTAAAAGTAGTGAGGCTTATTGTTTAATATCTTTTTCCTGTAATACTTTTAAAAGTTTCATTCTGTTAAAAATGTAATTTCTAAACCTTGGTATTTTGTTTTTCAGATATAACATACTTACAGGGTGCCCAAAATCTAAAACAGTGACTATAATATTACGTGGAGGTGCTGAACAGTTTATTGAAGAAACTGAACGATCTCTGCATGATGCTGTTATGATTGTAAGGCGTGCAATGAAGAATGATGCTGTTGTTGCTGGTATGCATTGCATTGTTTTTTCAAGTAACTGATTAAAATCTAACACTTTAATATAATTATTTTATAAATTATTTAGAATTTTATGTGTTTTTTTTGCATAATGCTAAAATTACTGATTAATTTATTAAATGGTTTCTTATGACTAATCTAGATCAAAATGAAATATTTTGTAACTAGCATAGAATTATGCTGTTGTTTTTTCTAGTTATTTAATAATTTTAAACACTTAAAAATAATTAAATGTAAAAGAGAACTTCAGTACATCTTTTTGGTCTTATATTTTACATATGGAATAAATCAAAAAAGCAATTTTGTTTGATTTACACAAAGGAAAACTTTATAAATAATGTGCAACTGGAATGTGGTTTTGATTCTATATGCTTATTGGCACAATGCTTACATTGATGCTTGTTAGAAACAAATTTGGGCCATTGTTTTCCTCAATTCTGTAATCTGATTTCAATATTTACCGTAAGCAATGATAAGAAAAAATTTAGCAATGGATTCCTTGTTTGATCTAATAAGTTTTGTGTTTGCTATCATCTATTCAAAGATGCTTCTTTTCCTTTTGTCAATAAACCCTAAGTTACTTGTCTTTTGAGATGCAAAATAAACTTTCAAAATGAAATAGTTATGCATTATAATTATGAAATTTCCATTATGAATTAGTGATGATAACTTTCAACAGTACTTCCATCAAGACCAAATTTTTTTTCTACAATTGATTTTTTTTTTTTTAAATGATTAATTTATATATATAAAAATGTTAAGAAAATTGTTAGATTTGAAAGGAAAAAGTACAGAAAAACAAATGCTAACATTTACAAAATTATATCTCTTAGGCTTTATGGGTCCAAGTCCCAATAGAATTTTTACCTCAGCTTAAATATCATTAATTATAGTATTTTATATACCAACTACAATCATAATTGTAGTTGGTATATAAAATAATCATGTAATAATTTTATTCTGATTTCTAAATATTAAGATAAAATAATTTTTTGAATTTATAATTAAGAATAGTACATTTTTTTTCTACTTTCTAGGAATATCAGAATATTGTTGATGCAGAATGGAATATTTTATATGAAAAATTAAGAAAGATTCATGAAGCTGGTGCTAAGGTAGTTTTATCAAAGTTACCTATTGGTGATGTAGCAACCCAATACTTTGCTGATAGGTAAAAAATTTTTTAAATTTAAAATTAAACAAATACTTTTTTGTAATTATTTAGTTATAGCACAATTATTATTGGAAAAAATCCTTTTAAAGTGTCATTTTAATTTTTAACAAATATTTTACATTACTGTCTTCATGTACAAAAATTTTATAAACATTAGATTCTAGGACTATATAAAAGAAAACAAAAATAGGTAAATAACAAATATTAGTTATTCAGCCATAAAAAAAACAAATTTTCTAAGTACTTAATAATAATGGTGTATTCAAATTCTTAAATGATTTGCCTTTTTTTTTTTTTTAATACAAATAGAATAACCAACAACACACAACACGGGTGTAGTAAACAACATACCCTATGAATTGATGACTGGTGTGCAATGAAAAAAAAACGAGAGGAAATTCATCACTAACATTTTCGAACTCAATTCCATTTAACACAAATTTCTTTTAACATTTGAAGAAAAACTTGGGAGTTTGAAAACATTAGTGGCAAACTTTCTCTGTTTTTTTTTTTTTTTCTTTGTTGCACATTGGTGATGTAGCAACCCAATACTTTGCTGATAGGTAAAAAAATTTTTAAACTTAAAATTAAACAAATACTTTTTCGTAATTATTTAGTTACAGCACAATTATTATTGGAAAAAATCCAATTGGTTTCATAGGGCCAATTACAGAGACAATGTTTAGAGGCCGACGGCGGTTTACAGATCAGGTAGCCCGCTGTTCAGAAAAATTTCATTGCAGAGATGGCGTTTCTTGCCTGCCACAATGTGGACAGGATTAGAAACAAGTTATTTGACCTACTTTCTAGACTCACTGGAAAAGTTTAGATAAAAACATAAAAACAGATATCGTTCCTTTGATAAATGTTGTAAACGGTATGAATCGACAAAATTATTAATTAATTAATTGCTTGGCGCAAAAACAACAAAATTAAATACTTTAAATTTGTTTTAAATGTTCCAATTTCGACATTCAAATGGGTGAAGACTTAAAACTTCAATTTAATTTAAATCAGATGCATTTATTTACAATTCGAGTATCGTGTCGGTTATAAAACGTTAATGCATTTC